GGCAGCCGCCGAGCCAACTGGAAGTCCTTATAGCTACTCCATTTTGATGGTGTTTGCTATTCTCACCAGAGTAGTAGATTGTATAATTTTCTATTCTACACATTCCATTTTCAGGCCAGCGCATTTCATTCACTCCCAATATAGAGATATTGTATTTGGACATTTCTTAGATAGTGTTGTGTATTTTCCCACCTTCGTATGGGCTTCTCAGATTCCACATACCAATTTGTAGTTTTGGGTTTATCATGCTTCTAGCAGACTGGGAGATTCTTAGCACCCCTGCCCCATTTAAGGGGCGCCCATATTCGGGGCCATTGTTAGGTTTTGCCACCATTAACATGATTTTCCTGGGAAATATATAGTGTCTTCCCTTTGCTTTCTACACCGCTGTACACATGCTGTTCAAATAGCTGCCACCACACCGTGTGCTGTTCTTCTGAATCCGTTCCAACCAATATGGTCTCTGTCTTCAGTCGATACTGGGGAGCCAGCTGCCACTCACCAGGCCTGTTGGTCCACAGGAGGTATTTGATTTCCTCCAACCTGCTATTACAGCATAAAAGCCATAATGGGTAGGGGGGCCCCAATCCACCACCCAGGGACACGCTCTGTGGGGGTTCCAGGCTCCCCCTAAGATTATTCTGAAAGCCTTTAATCCTTACTTGAACCCATTTGGTGGTAGTAATTAAGGCATCAAGCTAGCAACCCAAGACCCATGAGTTCTAGTCCTACCTTGGGCACAAATCCAGCTGGATGACCTTAGGCCAGTCACTCTCTCGCAGTTCTATGAATCAGGCATGGGCAAACCACATCTGAAACCTTGTCAAGAAAACTGCAGGGACTAATCCAGGAATCAACACTGACTCCAAGGCACAAAAACAAACAATTTATTTTTTAAATTATTTTTCCAAATGATGTGTGTTGAGATGCACATTTGGGAACTTTTTAAAGATGGCACTGGAACTCATCCCAGTTCCAATTTCTTCTTAGAAATTAGGAGCCAAGCTTACTAGTTAAGGCCAGATACAGGTGGCCTATAATGTTGCCTCAAATTGCAGTATTCATCCCTTGAGTGATGGGACTGCACAGGAAATGGCATTGTCTGGAGCAATACAGAATCAAAGATCCATCAGAAAGAAGAGGCATTTGGCAAGAGCAGAAAGGCATAAATTATAAGAAATGATTGCTTTCTTTCCCTAATGTGTTCTCATTAAAAGCTGGCAATGTTTTACCAATATGCAAACTGTCAAAACTTTTTTTTTTCCTGAAGAGGTAATCCCAAAGCCTGAGAAACAAAAATACATTGTAGTCAATAAGCAGGTACAGTATGTGGGCCTTTGTACTAAATTCCCAGTGGGGGGTGGGGGTCCTATGTCATGTTTGCTGAGAATGAAAAAAAAGCAAAAAGAAGTATGGTGTGTCCTGGTTGCCCCCCCCCCTCCTCTTTTTTTACAGTAAGCTCTTCAGTATCCTTTTCCTGCCTCATCTCAGAAAGACAGGATGTTTGTTATCCCAGGTCAGCTTCTCTTCGCCTGTGTGATTCCTCTGATTGTGAGAAAGAAGCCTTTTCCCTCTCCTTTTCCCTTTCCTTGATTCTTGCAGTATTCAATATCTCCTGCTCCACCTACACTTTCTACTCACAGCAGAAATTCTCTCACAAAGGGCCCCTGGTCTTTTCTTCTTAACAGACTATCCTTTTCACACCAATGATCCATTATGGGAAGGTTCTTCCACCCTCACCCCACCCGGACTCTTTCCTGATCAGGCTTTTCCTCTCCACACAGCTCAGCTTGCCTTTGATCTCTTCTCCTGGCTTGCATGTTGTACCTGTATCTTGAGGATTGTGTATACACTGGAACTCAATAAATCTAAATAAAATATAGTTAATGATGCTAGGGAGAGATGAATAATGAGTGTATTATATGCATTTGTACAAATCTTAGTGTGTTTGTATGTTTATGTATATGCGGCTGTGTTGCTTCTGGAAGTTGAACATGAACATTTGCTAGATGTGATGCTTTGTAAAATGTGCTTCCTTGCTTAATGACATATTTTAAATTATCTTTAAAATAAAGCAAAAATATGTGGGTCTCATTTGTTCTGAATAAATGGTAATGTGGTTAAAAGCATCTGATGCTCTGAATTAGAAAAGCAATGATTTCAGGTCAACTTTGTTTGCTTATTTATTTACAAAGAGACCAAAAATAGCAACTATTTCCTACTCCCTCCCTTTGGCCTCTTTAGTAATTTTCTCAGCATTCACTCACTTCAAATTATATTTTCCTTGCCTCTGATAATCCTTGTACTGCCTTCTTCTATGTGTCTCAATTTATGTTTTATAGATTTACAGAGTTTTGTGATGGCAAAATATGAGTATCCAAATTTTAAGCTTTTGAGTTAAATTGACTGGCATTTCATAGATGTTTCCAACCTTGAACAGGGCACTCCTATCCTACATTGTGGAGTGTCATGATGATGGACCACTGGTAATTGCAAAGCCCAGGTGAAAAGACTGATGAAATGGAAGGGAAGAACTTCACTTTTCTTTCCCTGCTCAACTGGTCCCTCCACTCCGGCCTCCCCATCTGATAATTTCACACCACAGCCAAATGGGAGAATCTTCTTTATGAACTAATTTGTGAGCCAGCAATGTTAACTTGTACATTTATAAGGATAAGGGGAAAGATGGGAAGTTGGGATTACTTGAATCCAGAGTATCCATAGCTTTTCACATGCTTTCCTAACACAATATTGCCAGGAAGACCAGCTGAATTATGAGAAAATTATTCATGTCAGGGAGGAATATGAAGAGAAAGGAATGGGAAAGAAAGTGCTAAGGATGGGTAATGGAAGTAGAGATACTACAAGCAGTAGGGAGAAAGCAGAACTGCTTAACTCATTATTTGCATCAGTCCTCACACAAAAAGAAATTATAGCCCAACATATCAAAAAAACTACCACAAAAGACAAACCAGAAACAAAAATTAAAATAAGCAAGACAATGGTAAGAGAACACCTATCTGATCTTGA